CCTCGTCGTCGTCGTGCCTCCTCTTTTTCGTTGTCGTCGTCGTCGTCGTCGTCGGCGTCCTCTCTTTCCCCGAACACAAGTTTTTCTTGTGACAGCTACAGTTTTAAGGTTGTTAGCGCGCACGCACTGCACGCTCACTTCTGTTCATAACATGCCAATCTTAGTATATCACGCCAAGTCTTATCATAACGCTCCAACTCTTATTATAACACTCAAGTCTTCTTTTAAGACTTGAGTGCTCAAGATATACTCCACCGCTTAGTTCAACAATCCTTGGACCTCTGGGACTGTATAAGTTCCCCACCCATCGGGCGGCAGGGCGGCGTCGGCCGCATGGCCGCCGCGGGGCCGTCAGCGGCTCCGCGGCAAAATGTTGGGGCCTCAAGAGCAGGCTTGGGGTGGTGATGGCGATGGTGGCGGTAGCGGCGGTGGCGATGGCGGTGGCGATGGTGATGGCGGTGTTGATGCAGGCGGTGGTGATGGTGATCGTGATGGCGCTGTTTGCGTATTTTTTGGTGATGGTGATGATGCTTGATTATAATGATAAGGCGTGGCAGTAATATACCTATCATGGTTATACGGTTGATTGTTGCTGCTGGCGGTGGTGATGAGGAGAATGATAATCAAAGATGCTGGTGATGATGGTGGTGGCAGACGTCATGGCGATGGTAATGCTGATGGTGCTGGATGTGGTGATGATGATAGATTGGTGAAGGTGGTCATGAGTTGGTGGGGATTTTGGTGAGGACGACGGTGGCGCATGGCGGTGGCGATGGCGATGCTCCGACGATCGCTCGCGCCGTCGGTCTCCTACAGTCGCGTCGGTGCCAGTGCGGCCGCCACTGCGGCCTGTTGCTCCCTGGTCGGCGCCCTCAAAGTATCCTTGGCGGTGGTTATAGGCGCGCATGCATCTCCTGGAATACTCATCCTCTAGCTCCTCCGGCGACCAGTCGCTGACGGCGGAGTCCACGTCGTCGTGGCGTGGTCTTGGAATGCCCTGCGAGTCGACGTCCACGCCCCCGCCGTCTTGGAGCGCCTGATGGTAGCCCGACCATAAGCTCAGCTGTCTTTCGTAGTAGCGGGAGGCTGGGCTCTGAGGGTCGTTCGCCATGGTGGCTAAGATGCTCCATGCGGCCTCGTGCGCATCAAACCCATACGTCTCCCATTCCGCAACCCCTGCGGCAGTCATGGCGCCGCCCCTTACGGCCAGGCGCGCCGCTACGGCCATGCGACCCTGCGCCGCTGGCGTCCTCACGCAGGCCATGCGCATGAACTCGATGTCCACCGCATTGTGCCACGCAACCTGAGCTTCTTGCAGTCGTTGCTTGGCATGGAGCGCGCGCTGCCTTGCATGCATCAGTACACCTGTCGCGCGGGCCATCCCCGCGCGACCGATAGGCGAGCGCATCTCGCGCAAGGCGCGCGCGCACGGCCCAGGCGGCAAGCCGTCGTGCGACCAGTAAGGCGTTCGGCCATCTTGGTTGGCGTGGAAAGCCTCGCGGTCGCGCGTGGTCTCCCACCACTGCGCCCAGCGCCCGCCATCGATGAACCCGTGCCCCAGCGATGCGGCTTCCCGCTCCGATTCCGCGGCCTCGATTACGCTTGCCACTTAGGACCCCCCCCCCCCCCCCAGTCTCGTACATCGTCGAACTCTTGAGCCGCCGCTGCGGCATCGAGCGTGCTCTGGCGCCCGCCACTGCGGACATTCCAGGCCAAACATCTCGTTGAAGCTGTGGTGACGACCAACCGCCTCGCGAGCATTTCGCCCAAATCGGCCCCGTCCACAAGGAAGATGTTGTAGACATCTCCTGTGCGGCCCTCGACGCGCGCGGCCGCCAGGAAACGAGCCAGGCGCTTGCGGTCGATGTAATCTGAGCCGTAGATCGAGGCCTCGCGGCAGCATGTATCGCAAATGGGGCCCATTCCACATGCCAGCGTCGCGTCAGGAACGTGGAATGGGACAGCATGCTCGCGGTCGCAGTAGAAGCACATGCTGTCGTCGGGCACGCTGCCCATGTGTCTTTGCCAGCAGGCAGCTTCGGCTGCGGTCCGCCACTGCAGGCCCCTCTTGGAGGCGACCGCCCGGCCGCTGAGCGCGGGCGCGCGGTGGCGCGGTGGCGCAGTTGGACTGGTAACGGCTGCGTGCACACAATTTCACACATGAAACGACGTATTCATGATAGTGGTACATATGTGTGTACACGATGACAATAATTGTGACAGGTCTGCTCATGTGTATGTGACCTCGTATATGTATATATAAACATATACATATATATATACATACATATATATGTGTGTGACTACACATAATTATGTAATGGTCGTCAACACATGTACATACTTATCATCGTCTACGGTGTAACTACCGAAGCATGTGATCATACACCACCATTAATTAGTCTACCAGATACCTTTCGGGCAGTGATGACAGCGACAAAGGCGACGACAGGATATGTTTTTTCCCCCAGCTGAGTCGCGCCACTCTAAGCGCTCTGGCCCGAGCCCGCCCCTTGGCGCCAGCCGCCACTGCGGCTATTCTTCTCCTGCTGCGCCCTCCTCCAGTTGCGCCGCTGCTCGCTCGCAGTCTGCCTCGATCCACGTCCCTGGCGGCCGTGACCTATGAAGACCATGTTCTGGTGAATGCCGTGGAGCCAGTGCGAGACGAAGGTGTCGTCCCTGAGCCGCTTGGAGGCCATCTTCCCCAGGTTCGGAAGCGGGCGCAAGTCGTCGTGCGTGTTCTGGAAGAAGTTCTGCCTTGTCTCCGTCAACCTTGCGGTGCGGTGTGCCTCGATTGGACCCTCTGGATGCGCGCCCTCTTCGAGCTGTTCGAGCGCCTCGGTGTCAACAGTACGCCACTGCGTACTCACCATCGGCGCGTCGCCCCACTGCGGCAGGAAGCTGCAACTGAAATGCTCGAGCCAACTGCTTCCGAACTCGATCGGGGCCCCTGGGGCGACAGGCTGGAGCCACTCTGGCACCACCGCCGCCACCTGCCCATCTTCCTCTCCGTAGACGGGGTGCTGCGGGTCGTGCGTGCCGAGCACGAGTGCAAAATTGCGGTGGATGGCATAGTCAAACACGCCAGGCCCCCAATTCGCGCGGAAGACGGCGTGGAAGGGCTTGTCCCCCGCGGCGAGGCCGCAACTGCAGCCTATGCGATGCAAGGTGCTGTGGTCGCAGTCGAAGAACCCAGTGAAAATGCGCACACTGCAGCGCAGCAGGTCCTCGATAATGTCGGCGCAGAACGTGCCGGACCACGTGGAATGAAGGCCGTGGCGGTGGCCGTCGCTACGGCCACGGGCGAACCTGAAGCGGGCGGGCACGGCCATTCTGAACTGCGCGCCAGGGTTTGGGCTGGATTCGCGCAGCGCGACGTCGATGATTGTCATGGCGTGCGTGTCGTCTGTGGCGCACGTGCCGTCCTGCTGCGTAACCTCCAACGTCTCGGTCTAGCAGCTCCCAGTAGTTGTCGTCTGCTCGTCTTGTCTTGGTCGTTGCCACCTCCGCCGCTGCAAGCTCCACTTGTACTTTCAGTGCTGCGTCCCTACGCAACACTTTCACCGCTTCCGCGTCACTCTGCGGGTGGTCCAGGAGCAGCGCGCCCCAGATCAGCACGAGGATGTTGGCTGGGCTCTCGAGCAGTTTTTCGATATCTTCCACTGCGGCCCTGGCCGTCACAACGGCCGTGAGCAGGGTGAACACTGGGTCCGCAGGGACTCGCCGATGCGGACTCCGATCCGGTGCTCGCCACCCGTTTCGGCGCGGGTGGTGCGCAGGGCTTCGGCGTCGCGTGCAGTAGGGCTTCGTAGTTCGGGGGTTCGTCAGGCTGCCGCAGCCCTGTGTTTGCCTGCGGTTCCAAGCGTGCCCTCTCCTTTGGTGGCTCGCTCGTCCTGGAGATGCCGCGGCGGGTTGTCAGGCTGCCGCGGCAGCAAGTGTACCTTCGGAACCTGCGTTTGCTGGGAAGGCGCACGTTTCGCCCTCGGCACAAGCTGCGCCTTTGGTTCCCTGGGGGCCGCCACTGCGGCCTTGGGGGGCGGCGCGGGGCTGACGGAAGGAACTGCGCGGGAGATGGCGCGCGGGGCCGAAGGGGGTCTTGCTTTTGAAGGAGGAGTCGATACGTCGTCTGAGTCGTTCAAATTCACAGCCCCTTGGGTTTTGCTTTGGGTGGCGGCTTTGGAAAAGCCTGCATCAGCATTGTTGCCGCTTGCTTCGCCCCTGCCGCCTTCTCGGCAAACTCGATCGCGAGGGTCGCCGTCGCAGGCGCGCCTCCCGCCTTCGACCATGCGGTAGGAGGTGCGCCCCCCCCCCTTCGAGACCCCAGGTGAATCTGGCACAGTTTCGCTGGGCGAGCCAGACGAGTCACTCGTAGTCGAGCTTTCGTCGGGGGCGGCCTTTGGGGGTGAACGCAGAACTGCGTTTCCGAAAGCTCTCGCGCCTGGGGCTTTGCTGGAGGCCGCCGCTGCAGCCTGGGCCGCCACTGCAGCCTTGTTGCCTGAGGCGCCCCAGGGCACCATCGTTGATTCCGTTGGGCCCGCCCCTCGAGCCAAGGGGGGCCGCGCGGCCAGCGGCCAGCTGTTGGAGCCGCGCGCGCGGTCGAGGTGGGGGCAGGACAGGCAAGATGGCAGACGCCATCGTTAATTATCATCATTGTCATCACCGATGTCATCGGAGTCGATATCGCCAACGCCATCACCAACGTCATCGTGGTCACCATCGTCATCATCAGTATCACCATCGTCATCGTTAATTATCATCATCGTCATTTATGAACACCATCGTCCTCATCATCGCCATCGTTTCATCGTCATCATCATCACCAACGTCATCGTGGTCGTTGTTATCTGATGGCGGCGAAGATGATGGCGGCGATGTTGGCACGAAGTAATTCGCTGACGCGGCTTAATTCGTCGAAAAGCTTCCGAAAAAAGGCAGCGGCGGAAGCTGGCCTGCGATTCCTACAGCTGGCGGCCGCCACTGCGGCCTACGCTGCCACCTTATCACTGGTTGCGGCACGACTGGTAGCCCAAGTCGCCTGGAGACATCCCGTTGCCGCGCTCTCTGTCGAACCTGCCAGTCCCCGCCCTGTCGACGTGCTTGTAGTACTTGTACGTGCCAGCGCCATTACTGCCGCCGCAGCCATCCCTGGGTGGAGGCACGGTAGATGCGTGCGGGTCCGCCTCGCGCAGGTCGAATTTCTTGGTTTTCCAGTTTGGGTAGGAGCGGACAACCGACAAGTCCTTGCGGTAGACCACGAAGTCGTCGTTGTCCTGGTGTTCGCCGCGTTTGTCGCCCTGTGGTGCCAGGGGGCGAAGCAGCGCTGGTGGTCGTAGCTTTTGGGGCGGGCGGACACCACGGACCGAAGGGGGCCGCCGCTGCAGTCATCAGGCCCGTTGACCACCTGCGCCTTAGTTGCTGGACCCATCTGAGCGAACATCTCCAGCCAGCTCCACGGGACTTCCTCGCCGTCCCAGAAGTCGTGGTGCATGTTGAGTTGTCCTTTCTTCTTAGGAGGTTTCCAGATTTTGCCGATCTGCACGGTTGCCTCACAGACGACATCTCCTCCTGCGGTTCCGGCCACACGGCGCAACCACTTCAGCGCAGCGTTGCGCTGGCGGTATGAGGCCGTGATCGGGCGACTTTCGAAAACACATAGGTCGACCGCCCTTGCGGGCGCCGCCGCTGCGGCGGCACTCTCTTGCCCGACCTCGGCGACAGGGGCTCTGTCTCGCCAGCGCTCCCTGAACATCTCTGCGGGCGGTGGGGGGTTCCCAGAGACGCAACTGCATTCGGCGGGGCGGCGGGGCTGCGTCGCGCTTAGGAGTGGCAACTGGGGGGGAGGGGGGGCTGGCGGCTGCGGTCCTGCCGTTGGCGGCGGCGCTGCCGCTGCTGGTTCGAGGGTGGATGTCCAGCGGCTTGAGGGGCCGTCCGTGGACGACGGGCGGGCCGCCACTGCGGCCTGGACTGGACTGGCCTGGCGGCGTCGAAGTCCGCGGTCGTCTTTCAGTTGTTCGAGCGGGCACTGGTTCGCTGCCCCACGAGCAAGCTCCTCCTCGCGCTCGGCCTCCTGCAGCGCAATCCACCAGTCTCGCGTCTCCCACCACCCGTTGTCCCAGCCCTTCCAGCTGTCTCAGCCGCTCCACGGGCCACCCCACCGCTGCCCCTCCCCGTGGCCGCCACTGCGGCCCTCTTGCGCCCAATCGCCCGAGTCCTCCTCGGCCGCCACTGCGGCCTCCTGGCCGCCACTGCGGCCTGCGTGCGCCATGGGCGCGGGGTTTCCGCCGCCATCTCGCTGCCCTCGGCCACGGAGGGGAGGTCTGGGCCGAGTGGCCGCGGGCGCCTAGCGGACAGGGGCCCCGGGCGCCGACTGCGGTCCGCGTGGGCCTCGGCGAGCGCCGCGCGGGGGTCCGCCGCGGAGCTCGTGGCTCGAGCTTGCTCGGTGAGGAAAAGCTACAGGCAAGAGGAAGATAAAGAAAACAGAAGACGGGAAGATATGGGAAGACGGAGCGAGGAGGCGAGAACCGAAATAAGAAGAGAGTCAGGGAGAGAGAGAGAGAGAGGGAGAGAGAGAGAGAGAGAAAAAGAGATAGAGAGAGAGAGAGAGTCAGAAAGAGAGAGTGCGTGAAAGACAGAAGGGGCAGATAGAGAGATGAGAAGCAAACATAGTTATAGAGAAAGAAAGAGAGAGAAAGAGAGAGAGAGAGAGAGCGAAAGAGAGAGAGAGAGAGAAACAAACAAACACAAACAACGGAAACACATATGAAACCAAACGGGGTGAAATGCGTCACCGCGAAGATACTGTCACGAAGCTACCACATGTTTAGTATATTTCTGGACGCTGAGAAGCAAACGGAAGTGCGCATACGAGACACACGAAAATGCGCAAACGAACAACACATCGAAACATAATGTACAAAAAATTAAACACTATTGAGAATGAGACAGACAGGCCGAGACAGAGAGACAGAAACAGAGAGACAATGGTCAGATCTCAAAGAAAACATACTTTTTCAAATACCGAGGGTTGGGGGTGCAGAGCCCCAGGAGCGCAGCAACTCCTCTTAGAGGAGTTGCAGAATTCCCAGGGGGCTGCGCTTAAAAATTGAAATTATTGTTTTTGTTTTTCATTAGGGCTTTTGGATTACCAAACAATGTTCTAAAAACTTTGTGTGGTTCCCACGAATGTTCTTAGAACATTTCTGGCGGAGTCTGTCTTGTTTGAGTACATCGGCTTTATGTTCCAAGAACATTTTTGGGTTTCAGAACATTCCGTGGTAGGACAACAGGAATGCCGGGACGGTCGGTCCCTGCTCAACAGAGGCTTTCATGATCCCGTGTCGGGGCGCGGCGGATCGACTAGACGTAAGAGTGACCTCTCGCCGGCGTGGCCTTTGGTGCGGGCACGGGTGGGTCCCCAGACGGCTAATAAAACGAGGCAGTAGCAGCTGCTTGCGCGCCCAGGTTTGGTCCCCCCGCGGCCCCCACAAAAAGTCGCGCACCAGAGGTCACTCTTTCCCAGGGTCACTCTTGCGAGCAGTCGAGCGGAGAACTCCGTCGAGGCCCTCGCCTGCCCCCCCCCCCCCCGGGTGCGGGTGGCGACCCGAACCTCTGCAAGCCACGGCCTTCGGAGTCGCCGACCGGAGTCTGCCTGCTCCCTTCGTTTCCCCCTTCGCAGGGTGCAGTCGGCCTCGATCAGTAGGTCGACCCTTCCCAATCCAGGGTGCCCCTGCGTCCCGTGTCTCGCGACCCGTGCCTTCGACACTCCTGTGGCAGCGTGGCCCTCGGGAAGGCCTCGCGTCCTCTCGCGCGCCCTGCCCAATCATGCCCGCCTGCAGGGCTCCGACGTGCGACAGGGCTCCCGACCCGCCTCGCACACCCCGCGCGCCGCGGCCACCGGGCCCGGAGAGCGCGCCTCGGTGCCCCCCACGGGCTCCCGCCCCTCGTCCTCGACGGAGGCCGGCTGCCTGCCGCGGCCGCCAGGGTCCGCGGAGTGCCAGCGGTTCCCCGGGGAGCCCGCCCCGCTCGGGTGCAGCCAGGACCCCAGGCAAGAAGGGCGCCCTCGAGGGCGCGGAGTTGTTCGCGCTTCGCGGTTCGGCTCCGATTCCTCCGCATCCTCTTTTTCTCTCTCCCCTGGGAGGCGGCGCGAGAGCGCGAAGTTATTCGCACTTCGCGCTTCGCGCAGCGCGAAGCGCGAAGTTGGGAGCCCTCGAGGTAAGACGGGGACCGGGTTAGTAGTGGGTCCCCGGAACCCCTAAATTGACCCGAATCACTAAACCAGGTCTGCCGTAGCTGGTGTTTTTCGGGTGACGGCAGTTCCGATTAGTAGAACAGGGCGGGGAGGGGCTTCCCCCCAGTACAAAATCACTAAACCAGGTTCCACTAAACCCAGTTCTGCCAACGCCTGACTCGCGTTCTCGGGTGGGGGGCGCGCTCGAAGCCCCAACAAAACAAGCAGCGGCGAAGTGTCCTGGCTCGCCTATAGGCCTACCGAACAATGTTCTAAGAACCCTGTTGTGGCTTCCACGGAATGTTCTTAGAACATTTCTAGCTGGGACCGTCTTGTTTTAACACATCGGGCTTACGTTCTAAGAACCGCATTTCTGTTCTTAGAATATTTCTGTGTTATGAGAACATGTCGTGGTAGTCCTATAGAAATGCCGGGACGGTCGGTCCTTGCTCAAACAAAAGTGTGTTTCCGATGTCCGCTGACCGAGGCTGCATGGCCGCAGGGGCGTCCAGCAGAGATGGGCCCTGCGGGCAGTCTCGTACGGCTGGCAGGCGCGCGCGCGCGCCCCCCTAGGACGTCTGCCCCCTGGACGCGCTTGGTTCCTCGCGACGGACGGGACACGTGCTGTGCTCGACAGGTGGTCTTCTGTCGCCTCAGCTGGCCGTCGCCGCGGGGCGTGTGGCACGCGGTGCGTCCGCGCTGCGCAGGAGGAGAGCGAGGTTTGGAGAAGGATGAGGAGGGAGAGGAGGAGGAGGAGGAGGAGGAGGAGGAGGAGGAGGACGAGCAGCAATGTTTTTCCTCTCGACGCGACACTCTCGCTCTTCATGTCTGATCAACGACAAAAATGAGGACAAGGAAGAGGAAGAGGAGGAGGAAGAGGGGAATCTTGGAGGAGGGAGAGCAGGAAACTCGCACGTCCCCTGCCCGGGGACCGGCGGATCTTCGAGAAGCCGCCTGGCCCGAAGTACCAGGGCGGGCCGTCGGGGCGAAAGGAGCGCCGCTTAGCGTCGCCAGACGGAGATCTAGAGAAACGCCCGCTGTGTCGCGTGAATATGGAATGATTGTTTTTGTTGTGTATGTGTTGTCTGGTTGTGTGTTTTGTGAAGATGGAGTTGTTTGTTGTATTGTGTTGTGTTGTGCTGTGTGCATGTTGACCGCTGTGTTTTTGCTCCCCCTCTCGCGCCGCCCCTGGAGAGTGGCCTCCTCCGCCTCCTCCTCCTCCCAGGCGGAAAGAGGTGTGAATAAGTCGGAGGCGCCGCACAATGCGATAGTAGTTTGTCTGGTCGTCAACGTTCTTTCATGTTTTATAGGCGGCCTACCTGCTTCGAAGAAACATTGACCGTCGTGAAACGTTAGGAGGCAATGCTTGGGAAGTGCGTTCCGCCACGAGCGAGCAAGGGGGCACGCCAATTGTTATTGGGGTTGTTTTGTGGTCGTACTGCGCATGGCTAAATTATGTGATCGACAGTCTTGTATTGAGGTAGGATATTGGCTAGTCGAACCGACGAGTGCGAATTTGTTAAAATGGAGAGAGAGAGAGAGAGAGAGGGAGAGAGAGAGAGAGGAAGACACAACAAAGAAATGAGCAGGCAAGTGACCACGCATGCACACAGGCGTGGTCACGTGCCTACCCCTCTCTGAGAGCTAAGAGGGCTTCAGAGAAGAAGCCGACAGCACAGGGTAGACCAGCTTCCTTTCCACGGCTCTCGGGCTGGCATCCCCGCAGCGCCTCCTGTCAAGTCGTAGCTTGTCCCTGAAGCGTTTTCCTACGCGTTCCCAATACGTTTGCCGCAAGCGTTTCCGCACCTCTCTCGCAGCTTTTCCTCGGCTCCTGCGAAGCTCTCTTCTCGAGCTTGCAAGCTCCCCAGACATCCTTTCCAGCGTCCTTGCAAGCGTCTCCCACGAGCGTTGCACGCGCTTTGGGTTGCTCCGCTATCCGGATTTTGGACGCCACACGTACATTTGCATATCCGGGTGCCCCCCCCCCCCCCCAAAGCGGGACCCTCTGGATCCTCGGTCCCCATGGACCTTATGGGCGATTTTGCCGAGGGACCCCGGGACTGCTGGGCATCCTGGACGCTCCTGCAGGGCAGGGCCTGCGCGGCCGCCGGGCCCGACGCGGCCTGGTGGGCGGCCCAGCGGCCCCGCGAGAGCCCCCAGCGGCCCCCGCCGACGACGGCCCAGAGAGCACCCCCGGGGGAGTCCGTAGCCGCTCTGGCTCAAGCTCTGCCTCGCTCGAGGCCGGTCGGGATCAGCCACTCGCAGCAGCCCGTCGCCCTGGCCCAGCGCCAGGTCGGAAGGGGCGGAGGCAGACAGATCTCTCCTCGGGCCATGTCTGCGACTGCGTTCGCCGTCCTGCTCGCCGCCTCTCTCCTGCAGACCTGCGCCTGCGACGACGCTCAGGCGCTGCGCGCGCTGGCTGCTCGCAAGCTGAAGGCGAGCATGCCGCCGTCGCCGCGCTCGGACGCCAGAGAGCTGCGCGAGGAGGTCGACCGCCGGCTCTCGGCACAGCCCTCGGAGGCGTGCCTGGCGGCCTGCCCGGGGCTGCAGACCTTGTACACCGACATCGCGGCGGCAGTCGCCCCGCTCGTGCCGTCCGGCCCGAGTGAGGGCGGGGAGTCGACCGCGGAGATGGCAGAGCTCATGGCGGGGGTCACGGAGATCTTCATCGGTGCCTTCTGCACGCACCGTCCTGCAGTCCAGTGCGTCGTGGACAATCCGGGCGCTTGCGACGCGGGGGCGGACGAGATCCTCGAGTTCGCCCCCCCAGACTGGACTGCCTGTGCGACGCCTGCCCCAGCGCCGCGCCAGCGCTTGCTCAGCTCACGGGGGCATTCGTGTCCGCTTTCGACACTGCCTCGGATTTCCCGGAGGGCGTCGGCACCACCACTGCTTTCCCAGGGGGCGTCGGCACCACGCAAGCGTTCGACCCCGAGAGCACGACCGACGTCGGCGACGTAGGGCCAGATGATCTGACGGATGGGCAGATGGAGATGATGTGTGCCATGTATCCTTTGTTCAGGTGTGCCATTGAGCAGCCGAGCCAGTGCGGGGGCGGCATCCTTCTCGGCGGCAGTGGCGACGTGCCAGACTTGACCACTGACGAGCTGGCCCAGCTGGAGGAGATGTGCCCGAGCGCGACGACGACGAGCGGCACCGACGGGGACGACGAGAACGACAACTCCTCTCCAGAGGAGGTCAGCAGTTGCGGGTCCATTAGCTTGGCATGGCTCTCAGCCTCGTTGCCGCTAGTGGTGTCTTTTCTACGATTCGAAGCAGCTCGATGATACGGATCGGTTCGCTGACATGACATCTGGCTCTTTGGCCATGATGCCTGGCGTGGCGAATTTCCACGCGCAGCCCAGAGCTTGACCATGGACTGACCTGGCAATGCCCAGCGCCAGCCGAGAGTGAGGCGGCATCCTGTTGTTTGTCCATCCTCCATCAACGGTGTGCCAGCCACACGCGCTGCAGCACCAGCCCTCTCCAACCCCATCGCCTCAGTGCGCACGCCGAGTTGGAACCGCTGGGGAAAGGAAGGAGCGGAGAACGCCTTGAGGCCATTGAAGTTGCGAGGCACCGGTTTCAGGCCATGGACATGCAAACGAAACACCTCCGAGAGACTTCCCGAACGCAAGCTGAAATTGTCATTCCCCGATGCCCCGAACAGTGCCTGCACTTAGGGTGTTTGATTTGTGTTATTGAGGATTTGGATGAGCGTGTCGGGGTATCGGCTGGTACCAGGTTGGTGCCGCCTCGTTGCCGCCTCGTGTGTTGGGTGGGTGTGTCGTGATTTCGGCTGGTGCCCGGTTGGTGTCGGCTCGTGCCGCTTCGTTTCCGCCTCGTGCTTTGGGTGGGTGTGTCGGGGTCTCTGCTGGTTCCCGGTTGGTGCCGCCTCGTTGCCCCTCCGTATGTTAGTTGGGTGGGTGTGTCGTGATTTCGGCTGGTGCCCGGTTGGTGTCGGTTCGTGCCGCCTCGTTTCCGCCTCGTGCTTTGGGTGGGTGTGTCGGAGTCTCTGCTGGTTCCCGGTTGGCCCCGCCTCGTTGGCGTTTCGTTGTTGCTTTGTTGCCGCGTCATTCTTGCCTCGTGAGCTGGGTGGGTGTGTCAAGGTTTTGGCTGGTGTCCAGTTGGTGCCCCTTTGTTGCCGCCTCGATACCGCCTCGTGCACTGGGTGGGTATGTCGGAGTTTCGGTCGGTGCTTGGTGCATTCCGCTTCGTTGTTGTCCGTAGGTGCTTGTAGATGGATGCATGTGTGATTGCATGTAGACGTGTGTCCTGCTACTTCTCTCCTCCCCTCCTCTCCCATTTCCCCCGCTGACCACTCAGCTTACACAGATATTGCACCGCATAACGTGCACCACATGCACTACACCACCCCCGTTACAACAAACTCATGTTGCTTTTCTCACATACTTTTCACTGCGAAACTTGTACCACGCATCTTGCTTGCGCAGCGCAACTTGCAACACATAGCTTACACCACGCAGATTGCACCGCGCAGGCACACATAGTTTTAAACACATAATTGGGCATGACCACATAGCTTGCGCCGCATGGGTTACCCAACATGGCCTGCACCACATAGTTTAAACCAGCTTACGCAAAACGTGCAACAACTTCTTGTTTGAGGTCCAGGTTTGCATGCATGTTATTTTCATTCATAGTTCTGGGTAATCAGCTTTCCGAGAGGTTTACGCAATTCCGCCGACCCCGAACAGAAGTCAGAGCTTGCGACGCTCGTGAATGTTATCGTGCAGTCTTCGAGGCAGCTGCGAACTGCCACTTTCGGAGTGCGTGCCGGTGATGGGCAATATGAGGGCGGAGGGGGGACGGAAGGAATGTAGGGGTGCACAGCACGGGGGCGAGGTGGGGGATAGGGGAGCAGACAGTAACGGAGGGACGAATAGGATGGGGAGGGAAGGCTTCGTGGAGGCCTTTGGCGGGGGCCTTGGGCAGCGTTTTGTCGGTGCCTCCTGGCGGGATCGGGGGGCCGTCTGGTAGCTTTGCGGGAGAATGATGGGGCCATCGGGTTGCCTGCGGCAAGTCCCGCCACCTTGCTAGCCCAGCACTCTGGTTGGGGTCTGATCGGATCGATGAGGATGATGACGATTATGTTGATGACGATACTCACGGGATGGTGGCGATGATGATGATGGCGTTCACGATGGTGGCGATGATGTTGACGGTGTTGGTGATGACGACGAGAGGATCATGATGAGGGAGGAAGATTGGTGTCGGCCGCGGGGAATAAACGAGACGATAACGATGTTGATAGTGGTGTTGTTGATAGTGGTGTTGGTGATGACGACGACGAAGATGGCGTTGGCGATGGGGATGAGGATGATGATGGTGGTGATGATGATAGTGATGGTAACGATGATGATGCTTATGATGAGTATGATGCTGTTGATGATGATGATGGTGACGATGATGAGGATGATGAGGATGATAAGGATGAGGATCAGGATCAGGATCAGGATCAGGATGAGGATGAGGAGGAGGAAGATGAGGATGAGGATAAGGATATGGTGATGATGAGGATCAGGATGATGCTGATGCTGATGCTGATGCTGTTGATGATGCTGATGCTGATGCTGATACTGATGCTGATGCTGATGCAGGGGGCGGAGGAGGAGGAAGAGGAGGAAGAAGAGGGAGAGGATGAAGATGAGGATGATGATGAGGATGAGGATTGCGATGAGGATGCGGATGGCGATGAGGATGAGGATGGCGATGAGGATGAGGATGAGGATGATGATGAGGGTGAGGATGAGGATGAGGATGATGATGCTGATGTTGATGATGACGACGACGATAATAGGATGGTGATGGTGATGGTGATGGTGATGATGATGATGAGGATGATGATGATGATGATGAGGATGATGGTGATGATGGTGATGATGAGGATGATGTTGTTGGTCATGATGATGACAGTGACGATGACGTTGACGATGATGATGACGATGACGATGACGATTATGATGATGATGAAGATGATGATGCTGATGCTGATGCTGATGATGATGATGATGCCCATGAGGATGAGGATGAGGATGATGATGATGATGATGATGATGGTGATGATGATGCTGATGATGCTGATGATGCTGATGATGCTGATGCTGCTGATGATGCTGATGAGGCTGATGAGGCTGTTGATGCTGCCGCTGCTGATGCCGCTGCTGATGCTGCCGCTGCTGCTGATGATGATGCTTATGCTGATGCTGATGCTGATGCTGGTGCTGGTGCTGGTGCTGGTGCTGATGCTGATGCTGGTGGTGGTGGTAATAATGGTGCTGGTGCTGGTGCTGGTGCTGGTGCTGGTGCTGGTGCTGGTGCTGGTGCTGGTGGTGGTGGTGGTGGTGGTGGCGGGCGCGGTGGTGGTGGTGGTGGTGGTGACCGTCGGCAGGACACCCAGTTGCGATTGCGGGCGCGGTTGCGGGCGCACGCGGCCCGAAAGGCGCTGCCCGATAACGGTTGCGGGTGCGGGCGCGGATGCCCACAGCCGAGACGAAGAACAAACAAAAAACAAACGCGGTGCCCGATGGCGGTCCGGAGCGCCGGCGACCCGAGATGTTCCCCCCGGTGGCGGTTATTGTTGCAGCGCGGGCGTCCCCGGCCCTGCAGCGACAGGGCCGGAAAACTCGTGGAGCCCGAGTTGCGCGCGCGCTTCTGGGAGCGCCCAAGCCATCAGACACTGCTTACGGGCCCCCCAGCAACCGCAGGAAGGTGGACAGACGAGGCTACGGCGCGGCGGAGGTGCCGCAAGCCATCCAAGACGGGATGGGGGGGGTGAGTAAGCAGCATGGAACGGCTAGGAGGCACAGACCAACCTAAAGACCCAAAGCCCGAAAGCCAGGAAGTCACTGCTGATGATGGTCATGCTGCTGATGTTGATGATGTTGATGATGATGATGTTGATGATGTTTATGATGGTGGTGATGATGATCGTAAGGTGGACGAGGACGAGGACAGTTAATGAGGAGGAAGACGATCAGCAGGATATCCGTAACATGGGTTTCTTTCGCCATCCCTTCTGGAAGGGCCACATGGACCTCACCTGAGTCGTTCTGAGTCGTTTTGGGGCTCCAAATGGGCAATCTCGGGAATCCCTGGGGGCTGTTTGAGAGAGTCTTGGGGCCCTTTGGGCCGTCTTGGGGCTATCTTGGGTCCCGGGTGGCTGTCTTGGAGGTCTCTCAGGGACGTCGTGGGGCTGTCTTGGGCTGTCCAGGGGTCGTCTTGGGTCGTTGCTGCGGTCCTGTGGGGCCAGCATGAGCGAGGTAGGATATTGGCTAGTCGAACCGACGAGTGCGAATTTGTTAAAATGGAGAGGGAGAGAGAAAGAGAGCGAGAGAAGGAGAGAGAGAGAGAGAAGGAGAGAGAGAGAGAGAGAGAAATAATAAACAAATAAATGAGCAGGCAGGTGACCACGCATGCACACAGGCGTGGTCACTTGCCTGCCCCTCTCTGAGAGCTGAGAGGGCTTCAGAGAAGAAGCCGACAGCACAGGGTAGACCAGCTTCCTTTCCACGGCTCTCGGGCAGGCATCCCTGAAGCGTTTTCCTACGCGTTCCCAATACGTTTGCCGCAAGCGTTTCCGCACCTCTCTCGCAGCTTTTCCTCGGCTCCTGCGAAGCTCTCTTCTCGAGCTTGCAAGCTCCCCAGACATCCTTTCCAGCGTCCTTGCAAGCGTCTCCCACGAGCGTTGCACGCGCTTTGGGTTGCTCCGCTATCCGGATTTTGGACGCCACACGTACATTTGCATATCCGGGTGCCCCCCCCCCCCAAAGCGGGACCCTCTGGATCCTCGGTCCCCATGGACCTTATGGGCGATTTTGCCGAGGGACCCCGGGACTGCTGGGCATCCTGGACGCTCCTGCAGGGCAGGGCCTGCGCGGCCGCCGGGCCCGACGCGGCCTGGTGGGCGGCCCAGCGGCCCCGCGAGAGCCCCCAGCGGCCCCCGCCGACGACGGCCCAGAGAGCACCCCCGGGGGAGTCCGTAGCCGCTCTGGCTCAAGCTCTGCCTCGCTCGAGGCCGGTCGGGATCAGCCACTCGCAGCAGCCCGTCGCCCTGGCCCAGCGCCAGGTCGGAAGGGGCGGAGGCAGACAGATCTCTCCTCGGGCCATGTCTGCGACTGCGTTCGCCGTCCTGCTCGCCGCCTCTCTCCTGCAGACCTGCGCCTGCGACGACGCTCAGGCGCTGCGCGCGCTGGCTGCTCGCAAGCTGAAGGCGAGCATGCCGCCGTCGCCGCGCTCGGACGCCAGAGAGCTGCGCGAGGAGGTC